CAGTATTCCCACACAAGCTGGCGTTGTCCAGTTCTTGCCCAGTGGAGCAACTCAGGGTCAAATGCCTTACTGAGAGGTACACTTTGTTTTGAGATTTACAGACATTTTTTAATTCAGGTTTTAATGTGACAAATACCATGGTAAAGAAATCCCCTACCTCCAAAGTTTACCAGCCTTCCTATCCGTGTGACGGGTACCCTCTTCTCTCGAGCTTTTTCACTAAGCTGAAATCAAAGGAAATAAAATGTAAACACTTCACTGCAGCTGTGAAACACACACTCGCATTTATCATTAAAACACTCATTTACAGAAAAAAGAGAGAGAGTAGATACCACTTGCGTATGCTGCTTAAAGTCCCTTTTCTTGTTACTCCTTGCTTTATCGATATCCTCTGATGTCAGCCGCCCCACTGTGGTGTTGTCCTGGTTAAAGAGCCTTGTATGTCCAGAGAACAGCCGACTTGACCAGTCTTTGTAGTACCTAAGACCTTTATCACATCTTCCACTGCAGGTCCTCCGATGCCCATTTGCACTTCCTGTTAAGCTGAAGCAAGCAGCCATAGTGGAGTATCTGTGAAATGTTGTGCCTCTGTATACGCAGACATCTTTCTGGTTCTCCTAAAAGAATAAAACATGACATTCAGCAACATTTATTTATGCAGCTGTTAAGTAAGGATGGGACAAAATGTTTTTTCGCTTTCTCTTGTGATATGTTACTGAAACGCTGGCGCCAAATATCAATATTTTTATTAAAACAAAGATGATAACTAAACTTCAGGGAAGAAAAGAATCTTGCAGCAGAAAAATGGCAAGAAAGCTAACAAATGTGAATTTAAATGTTATAATATTCTTAAATAATAATGACAATACACACAGGCACAGCAATGCTGTTTATAAAAGCATAGTTCCTGCTTTTTACCCTTTTAAGTGGTATTATACTATGGTGATATGATGTTGCAGTGATGTGTTGTAGGGGACCACCTTGCAATATACAAATTTATCAGTTCAGCAGGGTTGCCGTATCATGATATTGTTATTATCGAGGTAAAGGTATTGTGAGAGTACTGTATCATGAGTAGAGATGCTGGGACCAGCCGACAAACTGCAGTCAGGGCATCTCTAATCATGAATAGTGTTCAGTGCAATGCAATACAATATAATGTTGTTACAGTGATGCACTGTACTTCTAAAATAGCTGCACTGCTACTTAATTTACAAGTTGTTGATGATGTGTTTAATGGGCATATGGATTAACAAAATTATAAAGATCACAAATAAATAACACAAGCCGCGGTCCACAGATGTGGAGCTTGATACAGGAAA